GTTAATTTGAGCACAGGTACTTGAAGCTGTCCACCAGCAGGTGGAGAATCAAACCGCTTGAAAAACTGGTTAAATTCCTCCGCCCGGTGCTGGTCTCCATCCGCTGTCCCTCTGTTCAAAGCCAGAGATGTTCTTTAGGCCTCTCCACACGTCGCGGGCGTTTCCCTGGGCCAGCTTCTGCTCCAACAGAGTCCTTTTTGGCCCTCCTGATCCTCCACTGGAGGAATACATTATTTTGGGTGTGATCTCTATGGCCAAGTCATTTGGTTTAATGAAATTAGTAGTTCTGTAATTAGAAACCTCCAAACATGGTACATCCCGCTGAAATGTCCACATTTCAATCAAAACCACAACTTTGACATTTTTTTCATGAACGACAGGGATTCTGTTTGTGGAACTCTTTCACGGCTAACTAACTATTTAGCATTACCATAAAGCAAAACTCTTGGAAGGAAAGTAAAATTCTAGACCTTTCATGAACGAGCACATGGCCTATTTGTGTGTATTCCAGTTTCCTGTATTTGCCAGCGTGTGTTGCTGTAAATGTGTCATACAAAGAAAGCTAACATTGACAAACACACACACACAAAGGATGGAAAAGTCACAAAGGGTTTTCATAGTTTAATGCCGCCATGCTTCACTATGCTTCTATAATAAGCTCATTATACACAAAGCAATGGACCAGGAACAGAACCATGTGAGGACAAATACAAAAGTTATATATTAATAATCATGAATGAGACACACACAGTATTCAGAACACTTTGAATAATCATTAAAAAAACACATTTCTGTCGGGTTTCACAAATGAACCAAAACTGGACAAAATCTGAAATAATTTAACATTCATTCCTTCGGGTTAAACAGTCGATCTCTAGATTTTCTCGAGTCGCGTCACTTCCTGTGTTTTCTTTTTTTAGTTTTTGGGGAAATAAGCCAAGAGGATGTGCAAATAACAACGCACAGACTGGGCCAATCACAACTACTGCTACTACTATGTTTACTGCTGTTACTGCTGGAGATGGAAGTTTAATTTATTTACTATATTATTTATTATTATTTCAGTAAGTAACTAATGTATAATATGTGGTTAGGTTTTTCAAATTCTACAAAATTATCAATTCCGTCGACTTTGACAGAAGTTGTTCAATATTTACCCATTTAGATTTTTTTTTTTTAATTCAAAAATGTCTATGAATAAAAAAATCCATAGTTATTTTATTATTTAACAACTAGTTTTTGAAAAGAAAAAGTAAAAAAAAAATCACTAGTTTTTCGAATTAAACCAATCACTGTTTTTCTTTTAATAAAAAAAATTACAGCGGTTTTTAAAATTTTGATAATATTGTGTTTTTGATGAACTGAAGAGTCATATTTTTTCATTTCAAACAGGTTTCCTTATTGTGATTCGTGTCCGTCTCGAAGCAGAACTCGGGAACGACTGCATTCCGTCGCAGCTCAAAGCTTCAAAGCTCAAAGTTTTGTTGCCACGGGAAACGGATAAAACCTCAAAAATGTTCAGTTTTTACTCGTCTCTCGATAATCGCCGCGATCCTCTAGAAAAGTACTGTTCGTGAGTAAAGCTGGGGTCCGCAACTTTTGTTTTTCCCCTTAAAGTATAAAAAAAGTGCAGCTGCCGTTTGTCACGTTTCTGCCGCGAGAGTCACTTTTTGAAGCTTTGGGCTAATGTTGGATTGATAGATTTTATTTCCTGTCATTGCTTAAAAACAGGTTCCCCAGCTTTAAATCAAACACTAAATAATATATCAAATGACTTTTATACGTTTTTTTCTTTAAATTTTTATTATTACACATTAAATAATGTTTTTGAGACCTGGGGAGGGAGCAGTAACTGAAACATACTGTGAGAAACCACGCGTGAATCAACACTTTGACAATTTAAAAACCTAATATTGAGCTAAAACCAGTGGATTTTGATGGTTCATCTGTGCCAAAATGCCAGAGCGATGCAGCCAGATTAACAAAAACACCCAACTAAGTGCATGAAGAGCAGTGGGATCTCACTACAGACTGTAAAAGCCATGGACAAAGCTAACAGGCTAGCTAGCTGTAGCCAAACCAGGAAGTACCCATGGGTCTCCACTCGGCTCCATTGAGTCGTGTGTTAAAGTAAACGCTCCTAACTCGGGATCCGTTTGTGCCACACTCACCGTTCAGACCTTGTTTTGTTCGTTTATTAAAACTCTACGTGGTTCTGGTGTTTGTGTTCTGATATTTTCTTTGCAAATCAAAATTACTCCCAGTGAAAACCCAACAATCAAGTGCCTTCTCCCTCCCCCCCCAAACCCGGCCCCAGCTTCCACAGACTGGCTTCTTTCCTTTAATATACTATTTTTTTAAACTTGCGATAGATACAGAGTAAAAGCGACAGGTGGGAATGAAACACGTCAGATTCTAAATTACAGACATTGAACAGTTTTAAAGCTGAGGTACCTGACTTTGATTCATTAAATATATTCTGTTAGTCCCACAACATCTCATTAGCTACTCAGGGATCGTGGTCCTCTTTCACTTTTCTGTCTGAAACCAGAGAGAGACCAGAGAGAGAGAGACCAGAGAGAGAGAGACCAGAGAGAGAGAGACCAGAGAGAGAGACCAGAGAGAGAGACCAGAGAGAGACCAGAGAGAGACCAGAGAGAGAGAGACCAGAGAGAGAGACCAGGGAGAGACCAGGGAGAGACCAGAGAGAGATCAAAGAGAGACCAGAGAAAGACTACGGAGAGAGCAAAGAGACCAGCGGCGCAAAATACATGACCCAAACTGTTCTTAGAGCGAGGAACCAGCGACTCCAATGTTCTGTGGTTTGAAAACCAGGGACCCCAGCTTTCATTGAGGGGAACTCCATCGGGAAACTATGACAATGTTTTTTTTTTTTTTTTTAAAAGGTGGATTCAGCACAAAACACGTTTCTCTTCAACAGTGCGTCCAAAAACATTCTGGATAATGCAGAGTTTTTGATGCAAACGTCCCAACAATAAAAAAAAAAAAAAGAACCGAAGGTGGAAGTCCCGCCACAAAAAACACTCAACTCGAAGAGAAACGACGTCTCCCAAAAAGATTCTTTGAGTTTGTGGCGAAGAAATAACAAGTCAATGTGTCTCAGTCTCCTCCACCTCCTCAGTGCGACAACAACAAACGCAACTTTTTTCTGGTTTTCTTCTTCAAAAACAAGTCCACAGTTCTTCAGTCAGGAACCAGTCTTGTGCGGGTGGAAAAACAAAACCAAAAATGGATATGGATTCAAAAAAATGTCAGTATTCGTCTTTGGAAATGTGAGATTTGGCAAAAATATTTCCAATAATATATTATTAATAGTGACTGATAGAAGACCGCTTTTTTTTTTTTTTTAGCTTATAAGCATCAAGGCTACATGGCAGTTTGGCATATTAGTACTCCCAATACTATCTGATCTATGCTGTGTGTGGTTCTCCAGTTAGCCACGACGTTTGGGTGCGAAAACATGAAAAATAAGTTCATAATTGCTCAATGGGAGTGGTCTTTATTCTGATTGGACGACACGAGAATGAGATAACCCAATGGGATGAGTCTACAATGTCTTCCTGAGGCCACACTAAGAAAACATTAATCCAATCACAGAAGCCATTTTTTGTGGTAAATTCAAAGGTTAAAATTAGCCTCTTTAGCTAGCTTTGTCTTTTCCTGGTACAGGGCTGTCAAACTGGTCTGCAAAGGGTTTTCGTTCCAACCAAGCAGGAGCACACCAGACTGCAGCCATTTCCTCAGGTCTTCAGGTCTTCATCTCGAGACTGGACTCAGAGGAGGAAATGGGTGGAGTCTTGTGAGCTCCTGCTTGGTTAGAATTAAATGTAAGAGTGACTTTGACATGTGGACTTTAAAACACTGTAAAAAACCTTTCTGGAACTCGTATGACAGCCCTGGTTAAGAAGAGTCAGTTATCTGGTTCTTCTTTGAACCAGAGAGATCTGAGTGAGAGAGGCCAGAGAGAGAGACCAGAGAGAGACTAGAGAGAGACCAGAGAGAGACCAGAGAGAGACCATAGAGAGAGACCAGAGAGAGAGACCAAAGAGAGAGACCAAAGAGAGAGACCAGAGAGAGAGGCCAGAGAGAGGCCAGAGAGAGACCAGAGAGAGACCAGAGAGAGACCAGAGAGAGACCAGAGAGAGAGGCCAGAGAGAGAGACCATAGAGAGAGACCAGAGAGAGAGACCAGAGAGACCAAAGAGAGAGACCAAAGAGAGAGACCAAAGAGAGAGGCCAGAGAGAGACCAAAGAGAGACCAAAGAGAGAGACCAGAGAGAGACTAGAGAGAGACCAGAGAGAGACCAGAGAGAGACCAGAGAGAGAGGCCAGAGAGAGAGACCATAGAGAGAGACCAGAGAGAGAGACCAGAGAGACCAAAGAGAGAGACCAAAGAGAGAGACCAGAGAGAGAGACCATAGAGACCAGAGAGAGAGACCAGAGAGAGAGACCAGAGAGAGAGACCATAGAGAGAGACCAGAGAGAGAGACCATAGAGAGAGACCATAGAGAGAGACCATAGAGAGAGACCATAGAGAGAGACCAGAGAGAGAGACCAGAGAGAGAGACCATAGAGAGAGACCAGAGAGAGAGACCATAGAGAGAGACCATAGAGAGAGACCAGAGAGAGAGAGACCAGAGAGAGAGACCAGAGAGAGAGACCAAAGAGACCATAGAGAGAGACCAGAGAGAGACCAGAGAGAGACCAGAGAGAGACCAGAGAGAGACCAGAGAGAGACCAGAGAGATGTCTGGTAAAGAAGGACCACATAACTTTGGTTCATTTTCTTGTTCTTGTGTCAAACCCAGACCCTGAAAGACAAGATGGCCGACAGTGGTCCAAATGAACTACCAACTTCTTTGACATGTTTTCGGCTGGTTTTGTATCAATTTGGAGGTTGGAAAGGGTCTGGAATGGGCGCAGACCTCCGCAACAGTAGAGTGCTGTGTTGTGTGTCCGTTGTGTGTGTTGTGTGTTGTGGTCAGATGGATTTGGAGGAGTCCTGTTTGCTGATCAGGACTTCCAGCAGTCGCACTTTGGCCTTGATGCGTTTGTATTCTCTGTACTCGTCCAACATCGGCAGCCGGTCCTCCTTCTGCACGTTTCTGTGACAGAGAGAGAGATTATTGTGACTGTGTGTGTGTATATATGTGCGTATGTGCATGTGTGTGTGTGTATATGTATGTGTTTTGTGTGTACACTTTCATATGAACACACAAACACTAACCTTCCGTTGTGTTGATAAAAGTCCTCCTCAAACCCGCGGATCGTCTTCCTCAGTTTCTTCTTCTCTGCTCTGGTTTTCCACAGCTGTTCCAGCAGCTCCGGCCTAGGACCAGGACGAGAAGTGAGAGAGAGCAGAGAGAGTAGAGAAAGAGCAGAGAGAGTAGAGAAAGAGCAGAGAGAGAAAACAGAGAGCAGAGAGACCAGGAAGAGAGGTGAGAGAGACCAGAGAGAGAGAGCACAGAGAGAGCAGAGAGACCAGGAAGAGAAGTGAGACCAGAGAGAGAGCACAGAGAGCAGAGATATAATAAAGAGAGTTGAGAAAGCGAGAGAGAGCAGAAAGAAACCAGAGAGAAAGAGCAGAAAGAGACCAGAGAGAGAGATCAGAGAGAGACCAAAGGGAGACCAGATAGAGAGAGAGAGAGAGAGAGAGAGAGAGAGAGAGACTCACATGGAGGAGGCGTTGGAGCTGGACAGCCTCAGGTCCATGGCCAGCTTCCCGGACCCCTCCTCGGTCTTCCCCCTGGGCTCGGAGCGGGTGAGGCTGATGGGGTGAGTGAGCATGATGACGTCAGGGCTGGGTGTCTCTCCCCCGCTGCTCTCCTCATCCTCCTCTTCCTCCTCCTCCTCTTCCTCCTCTCGCTCCTCCTCCTCCGCTCTCTGCTCCTCTTCCTCCTCCTCTCGGATCTCCTCACAGAAGTGCGCCGTCTCCCCCTCGATGATCGGCTGGAGCGTCTGACTGCGGCGCTTACTGGAGGGAGAAACCTGGAAAGAGAGGTGAGGGAGGTGTGAGAGGAGAGAGAGAGAGGAGAGAGGTGTGAGACAAGAAAGGAGAGAGGTGTGAGAGGAGAGAAAGGAGAGAGAGGAGAGAGGTGTGAGTGGAGCAAGAGAGATAGGTGTGAGGAGAGAGATGTGAGGGGAGAGGTGTGAGGTGAGAGGGAGAGAGACAGGTGTGAGAGAGAGGAAAAAAGAGGGGAGAGCTTACAGTGATGGGGGAGGGCTTACAGTGATGGGGGAGGGCTTACAGTGATGGGGGAGGGCTTACAGTGATGGGGGAGGGCTTACAGTGATGGGGGAGGGCTTACAGTGATGGGGGAGGGCAGTGATGGGGGAGGGCTTACAGTGATGGGGGTGATGGAGACCCTGGTGAGCATCTGCTTGACCAGCCTGTAGCGCTCGTACAGAGGCTTCATCACCAAACGCTCTTCTCTCGTCACCTGCAGAAAAACAGACTTTAGAAATACAGCATTTGGAGCCCCCTGCTGGAGGAGTGTGGTAACAGCACTGTGCTCTGCTCTTGAGCCTCAGTCCCGGGTCTACGGCCTCAGTCCCGGGTCTACGACCTCAGTCCCGGGTCTACGACCTCAGTCCCGGGTCTACGACCTCAGTCCCGGGTCTACGGCCTCAGTCCCGGGTCTACGGCCTCAGTCCCGGGTCTACGGCCTCAGTCCTGGACTCACCGGTCGCCCGTGGATTCCCTCATAGTGCAGCAGATTCTTCTGAAGGACTGTTTTCTCACACGACAGCTGCTCCTTCGTCATTTTCTAAAAACAAGAGTCATAATCAAAACAGAGGCAAAACAAAAGGTAAGTTCATTCATACAAAGGCCAGTCCCTGTGCTCCAGAGAGAGAAAGAGAGAGAGACCAAGAGGCCAGAGAGAGGCCAGAGAAAGAGACCAGAGAGGCCAAAGAAAGACCAGAGAGAGACCAGAGAGATCAGAGAAACCAGAGAGAGACCAGAGAGAGACCAGAGAGAGAGACCAGAGCAAGACCAGAGAGAGACCAGAGCAAGACCAGAGAGAGACCAGGGAGAAACCAGAGAAAGACTAGAGAGAGAGACCAGAAAGAAACCAGAGAGAGACCAGAGAGAGAGAGGGAGGAGAGACCAGCGTCCCAGCAGGAGGCCGGTCCCTGAGCTCCCCCAGTGGTGTCATGTCCTTCATACCTTGATGTCCTCGGGCCAGCAGTCCTCCTCCCTCTTCCCCCTGACGCTCCTCTGGATCAGCTCCAGCGTCTCCTCTCTGGTGGGTCCCTCCTCCAGCACTGGTCCTCTGCTGCTGCTGCTGATGTCACTCCTGCTGCTGCTGCTGGAGTGGGGGCCCTGGTCCAGCGTGGAGCCGAAGCTCTTGGGGAGTGTGTTGCTTCGTGGGCGGGTGTGAGGCCCCAGCTCGGTCTCTGCTCGCTGTTTGGCTTCTGCAGCGACACGAGAGAAGAGAGAGAGAGGTGAGGGTTAGTCCAAGGACCAGGGCGAGCGGGACAAGAGAGAAATCTAATATGAAGTACTGTAGAAAGGGAAAAATTCTTTGTATGTGAAGTAGTATCTGGATACAGTACAGTTGTGCTTGAAAGTGTACTCCATAAACTGTATGTGGAGCCAAAATTATGAAAAATGTGTTGGTAGAAAAGGTTAAGTTAACAAGAGCCAATCACAAGCAATGCCGGACTGGCAGCTGACAGTGGGCAGCTTTTCTATCAGAATGACCAAAGAAATACCAGAGAGAGACCTGAGAGAGAGACCCGAGAGAGACCCGAGAGAGACCAGAGAGACCAAAGAAAGGCCAGAGACCAAAGAAAGGCCAGAGACCAAAGAAAGGCCAGAGACCAAAGAAAGGCCAGAGACCAGAGAGACCAGATAGACCAGAGAGAGGCTAGATAGAGACCAAAGAGACCAGAGAGAGACCAGAGAGAGACCAGAGAGAGACCAGAGAGAGACCAGAGAGAGGCCAGAGAGAGGCCAGAGAGAGAGACCCGAGAGAGAGACCCGAAAGAGACGAGAGAGAGACCCGAGAGAGACCAGAGACCAAAGAAAGGCCAGAGAGAGGCCAGAGAGAGGCCAGAGAGAGAGACCAGAGAGAGGCTAGATAGAGACCAAAGAGACCAGAGAGAGACCAGAGAGAGACCAGAGAGAGACCAAAGAAAGGCTAGAGAGAGTCCAGAGAGAGAGACCAGAGAGAGGCTAGATAGAGACCAAAGAGACCAGAGAGAGACCAGAGAGAGACCAGAGAGAGACCAAAGAAAGGCTAGAGAGAGTCCAGAGAGAGAATGGGAAAAAGTGATCATAAATAAAGTTTGATTTATGGCCAAAAAGAAATAATCAAAATCGTGTAAACTTTCAAGCTCAAGTGTGGATTGAGAAGTGGAAGATTATAATCTGTTTTAACATGTGACAGTGGTTGAAGGCACATGTTTTAAAAGACCAAAAAGGTCTGATCTTAATGTTTATAGTATAAAGAGTTTGGAAGCTAAGCTGTGTGATGAGCATGTTGTGACTGTAGCTGAACCGTTTCCATCTCTGTCATAAGAACACAGCTGTCCGCGGGTCACAGGCCTTAAGGGTCACTATCAGCAGCACAGGGAGCATGCAGCAGAGATCAGCCAAAGAAGCAGATGCACAGCTCTGTCATACAGCAGTGTGTGGAGCTCGACAGCGCCACCTCTGGTTCCAGAGCAGAACTTTCCAGCCTGAGGCCACGTTCAGCGATGGAACCAGAGGCGTGTGTGTGTTTGTGGTGCATTCGGACAGAGGGGAGAGAGAGAGACCAGAGAGAGGCCGAGAAAGAGACCAGGGAGAGAACATAGAAAGACAGAAATCAGAGAGGCCGAGAGAAAGACACGCAGAGGGATCTGAGAGAGAGGCCAAGAGAGAGACCAAAGAAGAGACACCATAGAGAGAGACAGATCAGAGAGGCCAAGAGAGAGACCAGAGAGAGACCATAGATAGACAGACGATAGTGAGAGACGAGAGACCAGAGAGAGGGCCCGAGAGAGAGACAGAGAGAGGCCAAGAGATAGACCATAGAGAGACAGGGATCAGAGAGAAGCAGAGAGAAAGACCCAGAGAGAGAGACACACACACACACAGAGAGAACAAAAAGAGAGACCAAAGAGAGAGAGATACCAAACATAGACAGATGATAGTGAGAGACAAGAGAGATCAGAGAGAGAGACCAGAGAGGTACTTACTGAGGCCGTGCGCTCTGGGGCAGGGGGGGCAGAGGGGGGAGTGTGTGTGCGCGGGGGAGAAGGAGGGGGGAGGGGCGGCCTGGCGTCTGTGTGAGTGCAGCAAAGCCTGGTGCCGTAAGGAGGAGGTCCTGGGGGTGAGGTGGTGCTGGCGTCCTGCAGGGTCCGGATCCAGGGGGAGGAGGGCACAGTGTTATTGTCCATTTGGGAAGAATTTTATTAAAAAAAGAAATAAATAATGTTTGCGGGACGATTCTTTTTTTTTTTGTTGAAACAGAGATGTAGTTTTGGCCCCTGAGGAGGTGAGACGGTGGGGGAGGCTCCAGTGAGGGCAAAGACAGGACTGAGGACAAACTGTATCTATTGTTTATGAGAGAGAGAGACTATAGAGAGACCAGAGAGAGAGACCATAGAGAGACCAAAGAGACCAAAGAGACCAGAGAGACCAGAGAGACTAGAGAGACTAGAGAGACTAGAGAGAGAGAGAGAGAGAGAGAGAGAGAGAGAGAGAGAGAGAGAGAGAGAGAGAGAGAGAGAGAGAGAGAGAGAGAGAGAGAGAGAGAGAGAGAGAGAGAGAGAGAGAGAGAGAGAGAGAGACCGGAGAGACTATAGAGAGACCAGAGAAAGAGACCAGAGAGAGAGACCTCATAGCACCACCTACATGTGAAAGCCAGATCCCATCAAAATTCTTAAGATAAGCAGGACATAGCCTGGTTAGCAATGTGATGGGGAGTTTCTATCAGTATTTCCTCTTTCCCTTCACTGGAGCCGCCCCAGACCTGGTGGATGTGGTGGACAAGGATGCACCAGCAGCACATGCAAAACTATGGGTCACAGATGCGGGGGAGGGAGGGGGGAGGGCGGGGGAGTCAGGCGTCCAGCCAGAGGAACCCCGAAGTCACCGCGGGCCGTACCTTTGATCTGCCTCCGGATCTTAGTCAGGTCTGTCATCCACTTGAGGACTTTCGGATTCGCAGCTTTGTCGCCGTGAGATGGCTGCACACAGACAAACACAGACACACACAGATACACACATCACTAATCGATTATCACAGCCCTAAAATGTATGAAGCAACATTAAAACACAATTGAGCAATATGCAGATTTCTCCCCTACTTTTCTCAAACCATCTGTTTAAAGGTCAACCTGGTATCTCTGGTCTCTCAGACTAGAACTACCAGAGACCAGCGAGAGACTAGAGAGAGAGCAAGACCAGAGAGAGATCAAAGAGAGGCCAAAAAGAGAGATACCAGAGAGGGACCAGAGAGAGACCAGAAAGAGAGCAAGACCAGCGGGAGACTAGAGAGCCTTCTTTTCTTCACTTCTCTCTTTTCTTTCACTGTTTCTCAGTGGACCAATGAGAGGTCTCGCTTGTACCTTGTAATTTCGCTCCTTCTCAAATTGTTCTTCGAATTGTTTGATTTTCTTCTTCAGGTGCTGGAGCTTCTTGGTGAGCTGGTGTGTGACGGAGTCTCCTCTCATGGCCTCTCTGGAACCCATGGACGCTCGTCTGGGTCTGCTGAGGGACACACAGGGATGGGATTAGGGCCATCCAAAAATACAGACTTTTGGAACAACTCAATTGAATGTGTTTGTCTCTCTCTGTGCCTGTGTGTATCTGTGTTTATGTGCGTGTCTCTCTGTGCGTGTGTGTATCTGTGTTTATGTGTGTGTCTCTGTGCGTGTGTGTATCTGTGTTTATGTGTGTGTCTCTCTCTGTGCCTGTGTGTATCTGTGTTTATGTGTGTGTCTCTCTCTGTGCCTGTGTGTATCTGTGTTTATGTGCGTGTCTCTTTGTGCCTGTGTGTATCTGTGTTTATGTGTGTGTCTCTCTCTGTGCCTGTGTGTATCTGTGTTTATGTGCGTGTCTCTCTCTGTGCCTGTGTGTATCTGTGTTTATGTGCGTGTCTCTCTCTGTGCCTGTGTTTATCTGTGTGTGTCTCTCTGTGCCTGTGTGTATCTGTGTTTATGTGTGTGTCTCTCTCTGTGCCTGTGTGTATCTGTGTTTATGTGTGCATCTGTGTTTATGTGTGTGTATCTGTGTTTATGTGTGTGTATCTGTGTTTATGTGTGTGTATCTGTGTTTATGTGTGTGTATCTGTGTTTATGTGTGTGTCTCTCTGTGCCTGTGTGTATCTGTGTTTATGTGTGTGTCTCTCTCTGTGCCTGTGTGTATCTGTGTTTATGTGTGTGTCTCTCTGTGCCTGTGTGTATCTGTGTTTATGTGTGTGTCTCTCTTTGTGCCTGTGTGTATCTGTGTTTATGTGTGTGTCTCTCTCTGTGCCTGTGTGTATCTGTGTTTATGTGTGTGTCTCTCTGTGCCTGTGTGTATCTGTGTTTATGTGTGTGTCTCTCTGTGCCTGTGTGTATCTGTGTTTATGTGTGTGTCTCTCTCTGTGCCTGTGTGTATCTGTGTTTATGTGTGTGTCTCTCTGTGCCTGTGTGTATCTGTGTTTATGTGTGTGTCTCTCTCTGTGCCTGTGTGTATCTGTGTTTATGTGTGTGTCTCTCTCTGTGCCTGTGTGTATCTGTGTTTATGTGTGTGTCTCTCTCTGTGCCTGTGTGTATCTGTGTTTATGTGTGTGTCTCTCTCTGTGCCTGTGTGTATCTGTGTTTATGTGTGTGTCTCTCTCTGTGCCTGTGTGTATCTGTGTTTATGTGCGTGTCTCTCTCTGTGCCTGTGTGTATCTGTGTTTATGTGTGTGTCTCTGTGCCTGTGTGTATCTGTGTTTATGTGTGTGTCTCTCTGTGCCTGTGTGTATCTGTGTTTATGTGTGTGTCTCTCTTTGTGCCTGTGTGGTATCTGTGTTTATGGTGTGTGTCTCTCTCTGGTTGCCTGTGTGTATCTGTGTTTATTGTGT